CACAGCCTGTAGTCCGCCCAGCCCATGAACGCCTCTGGATCGGTGAAGTCGCCCTTCTCCCACTTCTGATCCTTCCACTCGGACCACGTCGTGGAGCTCCACTTTTCTCGATGAGTCTCGTCCTGGTCGCCCTTCTCGCTCTTGCTGCTCCTGTTCTTCTTCCACTCGTTCCATTCCTCTTGGGTCCACTCTCTGCTCTCCCCGCGTTGGCTCTCCGACCGGCCCTGACCCCGCCACGGGTCGTCTGCCTGAGACGGATCGCGAGCTCGCCGGTCTGCACCCTCTCCCCTCTCGCTCGCGCCGTCCTAGTCGCTCTTGTCCTTACCCAGGTACTTCAGCAGCAGGGCCTCGGTCTGTGCCAGCTGCTGCTTCATCATCTGTCCGAGCTCCTGCTTCTGCTCGTTCGTGAACGCGTGTGAGTCCTCTGTGGCCTCTGACGTTCCCTTCCTGCCCGCTGGGTCGTCCGGCTTGAGTTGTCCCTCGCCGTTGCCATCCATCAGGTCACTCGGCATCGTGCCGTAGATCGAATAGCACTCCGCTGGGAGTGTCACGCTCCTGCTACCACTGACGCGCGAAAGCACATCGAGTGATATCCGATGGGATGGTGGCGGAAGGTTCTTTTCCTGAAACAAGCAACAACCTCGGGGCCAAAAGGGTGCCTACGGATAAACACAACACCGAAAATCAATACTGGGAGTTCAAGGTCAAATGGATAGTATACACTGCATGAACTCATTTACTCAGGCGGCGCGGCGGCGGCGGCGGCGGGCGGCGGCGGCGGCGGCGGCGGCGGCGGAGGCGGCGGCGCCGGCAACAGATGCGCCCCCAGTAGCTGCCCATCCAACGACGACTGCTGAATATGCTGAGGCTCGGGCCAAGCTCGGGTGCTACGTCTGTATTGGGAGGGCGGGTGGGAGTGAGCGAGACGGCTTGCGGGCGGGGAGGGCGTCTTGACCCCTCCCCCTACCCCCTCCCCTGGAAGTGGCGTTTCGCGGGTCGTTGGGGCGTCCAAGATGGCCTCGGCGAGAAAGTCAAAATCATCGATTCCACTATACAAGGTCTTGGTTACATTTTGGCCTCCTGGGGGGGGGGACCATTATTAAGGAGCCCCCCTCCTCTGATCGATCTCCTGCAAGATGGCACGAAGTTGGCCCCCGAGGCTCCCAAGAGTGCCCCAAGACGCCCCAAGGAGGCCCCCCAGATTCACCCAAGACGCCCCAAGAGGCCTCCGAGACTGCCAAGAGACCCCCAAGACGCCCCAAGAGGACTCAAAGAGACCAACGCAAGAAATCCGAAGAGACTCCGAGAGGCACCCGAGAGGCCTCTGGCCTTGCTGCTCGCCCTCCTCCTCCTCCTGCTCCTCCTCCTCCTCCTTCTCCTGCTCCTCCTCTTCTGTATCCGCCTGTTTCTCCTCCTTCATCGTCCCTCATGCAGACTCCCCCTCTCCAATCTCTTCCTCCTCCTCCTCTTCCTCCTCCTCTTCCTCCTCCTTCTTGTCATCCACCTCCTCTCCTCCTCCTCCTCCGATTCCTCATCCATTCCCCTCTCTTGGTGCATGACGTCTTACCTAAGCCTTTTGGTCAACTGCGTTCTATACCACATCCCTGATCAGGGCAACTCGTCTGGACATCGTTTCTGGATGGACTGGTGGGGTCATGCGAAGCGTCTAGAACATATACAAAGCACCCACCGACGCGTTTTCTGTGTGCCATCAAGAGAGGGTGGCGGTAACATTCGCTGGCTCTTAATTGTGATTTACACACCGCCACCCTCCCCATGACACCGAGAAGCATTCCACTGGAGGCTCAGCCGCCCCGATACGCAACACGCAACCCGTAGCGTGTTGACACGGAGCTCAACAAGTAGATTGGAGAGGGACGTTTGGCGCGATACGTTCGCTAACACGTGGGCCGACACGTGGAGCAAACCTGCAGCGTGTTGACACGCACGCTCTGAACACGGCACGTGCTGCGTTTCACAACGGGCGTGTCGGGGCAGGCTGAGCCCAGAAGCCATCCGCTGGAGGGTGTCTGTGTCCTTCTTTTCTGTTGTGGCGGACTCTCCCTGGGACTCTCCCCCCTCTGTCGTTGCCCCCGATCGCCCGCCGCGGCGTCGAGGCACAGCGCCCGGTCGCCGGCGGCAACCAGCTGCCGCAGCCCGTCGGGGCGCGGTGCTCCGGGCCGCCAGGCGAGGCCCGGGTCCGGGCCACCTGAGGGGCGACGCTGCGGCAAGGGGGTCGAGCCCCAGGGGGGAAGCACCGACCCGGAGTCGGCGATACATCGCCGATGGATCAGCGATAGGCCCCCGATGGTGAATGCGCACGCTCCTGGGCGGGGGTGAGCTATCGGCGCCCCATCGGAGATGAGTAAACGCTTGGGGTCGATGCTTCCCGCACTGTGCCTACTCCCCCCTGTCGTTGTCCCTGGCCGCCGCACGAGACGAAGTGGAGCACGCGCGAGGGTCGAGGAACAAAAAGCGGCGTAAGTATGAACTTTCGGACCTCCAGCGGCTTCGCAGACTCCCTCGGGCCATGGCAGACTTACGACGTGAGGTTTTTGAGAGTTTTCCTCCTCTGGAGGTCCTCGCTGGGCCCTGGGACCCTCCACAAACGGCACAAGTTGAAAAGCTGGCCCCAGGGAATGGGTCGATACCACCTTGGGTGGACGTTCTGGAAAATTCTTGACGTCTGGGGCCTGGGCTTCAAACCTCGGGATTCTCTCCTGCGGCTGCGCCTCGCCGAGAGCGTTCCTGGGCTGCCTGGTTCGCTCGGAACGGCCAACGGTACGCCGAGTTGTACGACCCGGAAGCCGCTCCTCGAGACATGTACTTTCTGAGGTCCTCGCGAACTTCTCGGATCGGCGCTGCGCCCCCCTGGCGGGGCCTCTCCGGCGCCAGGGGAGGGGGGGTTCAGCCCCGATCCGAGAGATCTGCGCCGAGCTGCGAAAGTTCGCGTGCTCATGCTGATTTTGTTCCCTCGAGAGGTTGTGGAGCGCGACGCGGAGGTGAGACACAACCCCGCCTTAGTGGTTATTGCAAACGGCAGGTCCGTTTCATTACCACTTTCAGAACATGATCTGGGGAATTAAGACGACATAGTAAAACATCATCGACCCGCGAACCTGTACATCCTTAAAAGCATGTGAGGCATGGCAACGTTTCAAAACACCTGATCGGACGACAGGCACTTGTAATGCTGACTGTATCGGTCTTGATGTACCGTGCCATGGTCGAGTCCTGACCGAACGGATCTGGATCTTAAGCTCGAGCTGCCTGAGCATATAGTAGCTGCCCCAGAGCTAATTGAAATGGAAGCGTGCGGGACGTTCAATCAACTCGACCTCAAAGTCCGACTCAACTCCGGATAGGAACGACACGACATGGGGCACAGACTCACGGACGCGCCGCAGGATGTGCCAGGGGCGCAAAAAGGTATGCGCCAGGGGGCGTGTCAGGGGACGTGCCCTGGACGTGTCAGGGACCTGCCACGAGACGTGCCAGGGCGCGTGCCATGGGGCGGCCAGGGGACGTCATGCCAGGGGGCGTTGCAGGGGGCGCGCCACAGAACGGGCAGGGGAAACGCCCGGAAACGAGCCAGGAAGCGCAACCGAGGACGAGCCAGGGAACGAGCCAAGCCGAGTGGCGTGCTAGGGGACGTGCCAGGGCACGTCACGCCAGAACGTTGCAAGGGACGCGCCAGGGGACGCGCCAGCGCGCCAGGGGACGCCCCACGGACGGGCGGGGTAGGACTGCGATGCACTCTACTGCGACAAGCGTTTCGCTTGAGACATCATCAACAAATCCTCATGCTAGACATCCGCCTGGGCGACCTGGACACGTGAAAACAAGCGTTTCGCTCGAGACTTCCTCAACACATCCTCATGTTAGACATCCGCCTGGGTGATCTGGACACGTGAAACCAAGCGTCTCGCTCGAGACGTTCCCAACACCTCCTCATGCTAGACACCTGCCTGGGCAACCTGGATCCGTGCAAATAATCGTTTCGCTCGAGTCATTCTGCCCGAATCTGAATGTTATACATCCGCCTGGGCGACCTGGACATTTGAAAACAGTTGTTTCGCTCGAGACGTCCTCAAAACATTTTCATATTAGACATCCGCCTGGGCGACCTGGGCACGTACGCGTGGAACCAAGCGTCTCGCTCGAGACATCCTCAAGACATGAGCACGTGAAAACAAGCATGTCACCTATTTCGAATTCTGGACCCCAGGAGAGGTTCAATGTATAACATCCAATAAACATCTCGCTCGAGACATCCTCAAGGCATTCTGCAAAACAAACGCTTCGCTTGAGACATCCGAAACAAACGAACATGTATACATTACCATGTGTTTTAACGATCGGAATTTCGAGAACCAGCGTTTCGCTAAGGACATCCTCGACTCGTGAAATTCGCCCACCCTCTTTGACCCCGAAACTTATCGCAGACGAAATTTGCCGGCCTCCTTCCAGTCGAAGCCGGGGGCAACAAAACCCAAACGAGAACCCTGGGCCGGAGCCCTTTCCAGGAAAAACGGCTCACCGAAACGGGCGACAAAAAACGCCTCTGGGATTGAAACCAGAGCCAAACCGGAAAACAAACGACGACGGAACAGAGCATACAAAAAAAAGCGGCGCCAGAACCACAAACAAAACTGCAGAACGAGCACGGACAACCAACAGCCCTGCCGATTCCAAGACCGACTAAGTCGGCGGTTCAAAGACAGGGCCCCGGGGGATGGGGACCTGCGAATAGAAAGGGATCCGAGGCTAGATTTCCACATCGCTTGAGGCACCTCGCCCGGGGGGCCCCGCCCCTCAGGACCCCCTCTGTGAACCACCGACTGGGAGCCCCGCCGCGGCGATCTGCAGGCCCCCGCCCGGCAGCGGCGCGAGGTCCAGCGGCCGCGCGGGCGGCGAGGCCGAGAGCGAGGCGACGGGGCCCTTGGCCGCCGCGGGCACCGCGCAGCCACCGATGTCCGAGCGGAGCGCGCCGGCCGCCGTCAGGGCGACGCGCTGGCTGGGCGCGCCCCCGAAGAGCTCGCACTGGAAGGTTCGGTGGCAACTCCTGGGTGCCTCCCATGCCATCCTGCTGGCCCTTGCGAATCGACGCTGGCCGACGCTAATCGACGCCAGTCGGCGCGGATCGGCGCTGATTCGACGCAGATCAACGCCAGATGGGCGCTTGCTCATCGGTTATCACACGCTAGCGCGCGAGTGCACTCTAAAGGCGGAATTGCGAAGATACACGCGGCTCCCATGATTTGCTACCGAAGGAAGGCGTGGACCGTGCTCCCGACGTCGAACATGTTCACGCACTCGTCGAGGTCCCACACCTTCAGGCCAGAGCAGCAGCCACCGCCGTCCTTGGCGGCTGCCCCGTGGAAGCGTTGCCGCTCGTCGCGCCGGCTGCAGGGGGCCAACTTGAGGCCCATGCTCTCGTCCCACACCTTCTCGTGGTGCAGGCAGAGCTGGCTGCCCCGCTTCCGCAGGTGGAAGACTCGCTCCGGCAGCATGCCCGTGTCCAGGTACAGGTCCCTGAAGCGGTCGAGGTACGACGCGAAATCGCCGCAGCCGAGGCCGGCGCGGTCCCTCTCGATGTTGTCGAGGCTTCCCACCGACAGCTCTCCGTCGGGGCCGAAGGCCTCGAACTCCTGGAAGGACCGGACCTTCTGCGCCCAAGCGCCGAGCCAAGCCGTCGCCGCGCGCAGGCGGTTCCGCCGGGTGTGGTCGGAGGGGATGACGTACTTCATCATCGTATGCGGCTTCCTGGGATCGCGCCACATGTGTGCTACACGGGAGCCCTCCGCCACCATAATCTCTCCACCGCATAGCCACGTGCGCAGAGACTGGTCCAAATTCTCCCCTCCCCACGACAACATCTGGTCGTCGTACCCTCCTGTCTTCCTCCACCAGAACTGCGTGAGCGCAAGCAAGCCACCGCTCATGATGGGAACGTAGGGTCCTGGATACTGGTTGCACCATGTGAAGTCTGCGTTCCACGTCAAACACATTTTAGAGCCTCCGCCATAAGGTGACACCTCCTCCCACGTGTCAGGGTCCAAGACAGTGACGGAGGGGACCACCACCCTCCGTGGGTTCTCCTGAAGGTTCGCTAGGATCGGGCCCGTCCAATTCTCCATTGGCTTCACGTGGCAGTCCAGGAAGACGATCGCGTCACCCGTGGCAGCGTCTCCGCCGTCCTTCTTGGAGCGGATCAATCCCTCTGGGCGGTCATGGCGGATGACCCTTGCCCGGTAATATGTCAGGAACTCTGTTGCTACATCCGAATGGATGGGCGGATCGGAGGCGTCGTCGACGACGATGATCTCCTTCAGCTGCTCGTCGGGTGTGGCATCAAAGACCGAACGAATTGTCTTCCAGACGAACTCGCTTTCGTTCGCGCAGGGCAGGACCACGGACAGAGTGGCAATTCGAGCAGGCGGCGCCAGAGCCTCTTCTGGACCTGCCCGACCGCCGACGCCGCCACAGACGCCCGTCCCCGCGACCTCCGACGTCTTGCTGTTTTGCAATGCGGGGTCCTCGGGCCTCTGGACAGCTTCTCGGGTACCATTTCTGTCGCCCTGGATCGTTTCGCTGACGGCCATGGGTGCCCGATAATGTCTCCAGACTCCGAACATTATGCACATGTTTTGTCTTGGCTTTTCAAGACGTCGGAGGTCTGGTGCCACCGCAGCCGCCATCATTTTTGTTCGTCGTCGTCGTCGCCATGGTCGTCGATGGACCTGCGCTGCCTGTGGGCACTCGCCGTAGGAGAACCGCCGCCAGCGGCGCGGCGCACACCAGAAGGGCCCGCGCCGCCAGCCGCGCCCAGCCGCCCCCAGGCGGCCCAGAGGGGGGAAGGGCCTGGGCGGAGGGGGGACGGTAGAGGGCGCCATCTGTACTCCTACAGTAGACACATACGGTGAGGGCCGTGTATTCATTGGGTAAGGAACCCTTGGATAAACAATCGATTGTCTGAACGCCGGTGGAACGCCAATTGAAGCTTGACTATGGATATCGCCGCCTCCCTCATCAGATAAGAAAACCTCCAAGGTCTGAAGCCTCCTGGGCATATTCCTCAACCGACGCCCCCACCGTAAGAGAATCCTGCAAAGAAATTCCAGGGCCAGTTCGTCGACAAGATTCAAGCTTCCTGGGTGCCCCAATGTTTTGCGGGTCCCCAAGGCCATTGGGAGGTACGAGAATCCCGTGGGGCACGTGCTGTCGGTTTCCAGTTTGTGCACCGATCCTCGCCAGGTCCACCTCGGGCCCTGGCTAGAAGAGGAACTGTTTGAACAAGCGTGAACTTTCGGAGGTCCGCGCGGATATCCTGGATCGAAGCTAGACCCCCTCCCTGGCGCGAGCAGCGCGCCAGAGGGATCAAGCGCGGATCCAAGAAAAACGCGCGGACCTCCGAAAGACGATGTTAACGTTGTCAGCTGTCCTTCGACTGACACGAATAGGTGATCGACTCTAGAACTGTTTTGCCCCAAAATTGAGGTTTCGGTCGAATCTGCGATCAATGAAAAGATTTTCCGTAGATCTGCAAGCTTTCTGCGCATGTTTCGTAGATCCGATGGGAAAATCAAATTTGAGATAAATCAATTCTGTAGTCGATCCCCTACTCCACTCACCAGGGCCGGTACGTGAGCCTTGACCAAGCCGGGGCGGACAGAATGGGGCACAAGAAGGGTGGCCTTCCCAGCGCCTTCCTGCGCCGGAGACGCGGAGACGCCCATAGCAATGCGCCCGGCGTCGCGGCCAAACCAGGCGCATGCAGCAATTTTCACACCTCCTTTTCCCACTCGCCCCGTACCGTCTGACCCGAACCCTAGCCGCCTGGCATTCGGATCCGAATCCCGGGTCTCCAGCGGCCGTTCGGGAGAGTCTGGGCACCCCTGGAACGCTCGGGGCGCGGCGCAGCTGCTGGAACACGTCCCGAGGCCAGAAGAGCCGCCGGGAGCTGAGGAGCGACAGAAAGTCTCGGACCTCGAACCCGAGCCATGAGGGCGCGCACGCCCCAGACATCCAACGCTTGGAGTATTTGCAGTACGGGGCTCCCAGAAGTTCCAACCTGGTCCCCAGGTTTTTTATCACGAGTAGGTTTGCGACGGCCCCGGGGCTCGGCGATGGCCCCCGCAGAGGCCGAAAGCTGGCGAAAACCTTCCGTCGCATTTTTCTTCACGACGCGAGCATGTCTGGTTTTCTCGGGCCTCTGGCGGCCGTTCCAGACGACTCGGGCACTCCTGGAACGCCTTCGGCGAGGCGCTCCTGCTAAAACGCATCCCAAGGCAAGGAAGCATTCGAAAACCAACGAAACCCGCCCAAAACCCCCATCGCGATTCTTCCGTGGCCGATCCACACCGCACGGGGCCGGTCAACGCTGAAGACACCGCAAGACACCCCCGCCTGTAAGAACCGATCCCCGATACAGAGTCCGGAGCTGTTGTCGGCTCTTTCCGGTGAGTTGTTTCCGTTGTGTTCTTACAAGTCTGGGGCACTTCACCCTGCCACCACCTGTTAGAGCCGACCGCCACTGAGAAATCTGACTCCTGGTCGGTACACCAATTCTGGCCAGGCCCATCCTGTGCCTAGGTTCGGTGCATACGCCATCCTGCCTTGGCCAGGAAGGCATGTGCACGGATCCTGGGCCTAGGACGGGCCTGGCTAGGATCGGTGCATGCGCACATTTCTTTTTGCCCGACTGTTGCTGTTCTTGTTGTTGCTGCTGCTGTTGTTGAACTTTCATTCCTGAGTAATCATTACTGTCGATCCCCCCCCACCGGTGCACTGTGCGTTTTTCATTTGAAGTGCCCCCTCAGGGCCCACACCCTGTTTTATAAAGGAAAATCTTCATGCTCAAACTGTACCCCCGGCCCCCAGGCTACAACAACAACGGCTCCCGCCTGATACCCCTTCGCAGTTTATTCAAAAATCGCGCTCTCGCGCGGGATGTCTTCACAGTTTATGTATGAATCGCCCTCTCGCGTGGGACTTCTTCACAATGTATTGGAGCGCCGCGCCTTCGACAATCAGAAACCACGCTCTCGCTCTGGCCTTCCTCACGATTTACTTGGGGATCGGGACATCGTTCGAGGGTTCCTCGCGATCCATGCAGGACGCACGCTTCAGCAACCTGCCTGCTCGACCTGGCAGCGTGGGCTCGCCTTCCCGACCTGCCTGCTATGGTCTGCCCGCCCGATCTGCCCGTATGGTTTCACCACGTGCTCTCTGCTCCTAGCCCCCCTCCTGCTACTCTCTCACGAGTTCCATCCTGCCCTAGGGGCTGCACGAAATGCAAGTGACAGCTAAGGAAAATATACCCCCCAAGGGCGTACGATCGAAGACGAAGAAGGCGGGCACCGCGGGTTTGATGTAGAAGTGCTGAGTGGCACGCGAGCAGAGAACGAACAACCTTAAAATGTGTGTTATTCTTGCTGATTTTCGGAAGAATAAATGCTGTTCCCCCCCCCTCCGGGGCACATTGTGTTTTTAATGTGAAATGCCCTTCCCGGGGCTCGCACCCTGTTTTTTATCAAGGAAATTTTGAATCTCAGAATTTGGCTGTTGGCCGCCAGGTCACAGCAACAGCAGCGGCTCCCGCATGATACTTCGTCGCTATGTATCCACACATCGCGCTTTCTCGCAGGACTTCCTCACAGTGTATGCAGGATTCGCGCTCTCGTGTGGACTGGTTCGCAATTTATTCACACGCCACGCCCTCGACACTCAGGAATCACGCTCTCGGAGGGCTGCCTTACGATCTATATTTGGGAATCGCGCTATCGCTCGAGACGTCCTCGAAGTGCATGCAGGACGCACGCTTCAGCCACCCGCCTGCTCGACTTGGCCGCCTGGGCCCGCAATCCCGACCCGCCCGTTAGGGTCTACCCGCCCGATTTGTCCGTCTGGTTCTGCCGCGTGGTTTCTGCTCCTAGCCACCCTCCTGCTACTCTCAGACGTGTTCCATCCTCCTCCTTCCCCCGTGTCCCTTCCTTTCATCCGTCTTCTCTTCCCCTGCCTTAGGGGTTGCACGAAATACACGCTGCATGCGAGAAACATTACATACCCCCAAGGGGGTACGATCGAAGACGAAGAGGGCGGGTATCGAGGGTTCCGGAGTTATGTGTCGAATGGTCTGCGAGCAAGTAAAAGCGAACAATCTTAAAATGCTTGTTGCTGTTGCTTTTGTTGTTTTTGTTGTTGCTGCTGCTGTTGTTGTTGAGTTCCCATGTCTAGAATATCAGTAAGGTTGAACCCCCTCTGGTAACCGTTGGAGTGTTCAAGTCAACTGCATCTCCCAGGGCTCGCACCCTGTTTCTTACAAGGGAAAGCGAGGAAACACCAAACTGCGTTGTTGGCCCCCGCTTTACAACAACAGTAACAACAGCTCCCGCCTAGTACTTCCTCACAGTGTATCCCCAAATGGCGCTCTCGCGCGGGATGTCCCCATGATGTATACAAGAATCGCGCTCTCGCATGGGACTTCCTCGCGATGCATTCAAACGCCGCGCCCTCGACACTGAAGAATCACGCTCTCACTGTGGATTTCCTGACGATTTATTTTGGAATCGCGCTATCGCTCAAAATTCGCCGCGACTCATGCAGGACGCACGCTTCAGCCACCCGCCTGCTCGACTTGGCCGCCTGGGTCCGCCTTCCCGACTCGCCCTGTAGGGTCTACCCGCCCAAACAGCCCGTCTGGTTCTGCCACATGGTTTCTGCTCGTAACACCCCTCCTGCTATGCTCTTATGTGCTCCGTCCTCCTCCCCCACCCTTGTCCGTTTCTTCCATCCGTCCTCCCTTCCCCTGTCGTAGGGGTTGCGCGAAATACACGCGTTGCAGGTAAGATGTATGTGTATATATATGTATGATTATACATGAGACCCTCAATTGGAGACGAACGAACACGAACAGGGCGGGTATCGAGTGTTTGGGATAGACGTGTTGGGTGGTACGCGAGCAGGCGAAAGCAAACAGTCTTCATATTACTGTTGTTGTTGGTGTTGCTGTTGAACTTTCGCGGCTGAAGAATACATATAGTTGATCCCGCCCTCCGGTAACATAAGTTTTTCCCAAACCATCCTGTGGTGCTTGGCCCTCGTTTTGGAGATACAGCGCCCCGCGTTCCTCCTTCCTTTCTCCTTCCTTCCTCCTCCCCCCTCCTCCTCCATCCTCGTCGTCATAACCCGCTTCAGCACAGCACTCACACGTTTCGTGGCCCCATACGGAGCTCCACCGAAAGTCCCAGTGCTACCGCCCGCGAGCGTACCCCCCCAACCCAATACAGCGCATCGTGGCACCATAGGGTGCTCCGCCCCAGAGCTACCGCCCGCATGCGCCCCCCCCTACCCAGTACAACCCTTCGTGGCCAATAAGGAGTTCCACCGCCTGCATGCGTCCCCCCCACCAAGTACAGCGCTTCGTGGCCCCATAGGGAGCTCCACCGACGGTCCCAGTGCTACCGCCCGCATGCGTCCCCCCCCCCCCCACCAGCACAGCGTTTCGTGGCCACATGGGGAGCTCCACCGACGGCCCCAGCGCTACCGCCCGCATGCGTCCCCCCACCCAGTACAATGCTTCGTGGCCCCTTGGGGGGCTCCACCGACGGCCCCAGTGATACCTCCCGCATGCGCCCCCCCCCCACCCAGTGTTGCGTTTCGTGGCCGCTCCACCGACGGCCCCAGTGCTACCGCCCGCATGCGTTCCCCCCGCCAGCTATTACTTTCGTGGCCACATAGGGAGCTCCAGCGAACGTCCCAGCGCTGCCGCCCGCATGCGTCCCCCCCCCTACAACAGTACAGCGCTTCGTGGCCGCATAAGGAAATCCCGCGAATGTGCCAGCGATAGCGCCCGCATGCGTCCCCCAAACCAATACAGCGCTTCGTGGCCCGAACGGGAGCTCCATCGACGGTCCCAGTGCTACCGCCAGCATGCTTCCCCCCACATAGTACAGCGCTTCCTGGCCCATACGGAGCTCCACCGACGGCCCCAGCGCTACCTCCCGCATGCGTTCCCCCCCCCCTCCCAGTGTTGCGCTTCGTGGCCCCATAGGGAGCTCCACCGAAGAAGATAACTATTCACAAGTGCGGTACTTACAATTGCAGATGGTTGGGCCCTTTGCCAGGATCATTTAATTTATGTGCCCTCCCCCCCTGGGGCTCGCACCCTGTGTTTCCCAACTGTCATGTGGTCTTGGGTTCTCGTTTTGAAAAGACAGCGCCCCGCGTTCCTCCTTCCTTCCTTCCTTTCGTCCCCCTCCCCCTCCACCTCCTCAATCATCATCGCCATCACCCGTTTCAGCACACCCCTCACACGTTTCGTGGCGCCGTAGGGAGCTCCACCGAAGGTCCCAGCTCTACCGCCCGCATGCGTCCCCCACACCCATGTCGGCACACCCATCGCACGTTTCTTTTCCCATAGGGAGCTCCTCCGAAGGCCCCAGTACAACCTTCCACATGTGTCCCTCACACATTTCGGCACATTCGTCACACGCTTCGTGACGCCATCGAGAGCTCCACTGAAGGCCCCAGTGCCGCCGTCCGCATGCGTCCGCCGCACCCATTTCGGCACACCCCTCACAGGGTTCATGGCCCCATAAAGAGAGCCCGACCGAAGAAGATATGCAGAACCTCGGTACTCACAACTGCATATGGTTGGGTCCTTCGTCAAACCAATGTTTCCCAATCACACTGCGGTGTTGGGTCCTCGTTTTGAGAAGACACTCCCAACTTTCCCTCCTCCCCTCCTCCTCCGCCCCCCTCCCTCCTCCCGTCACCCCCCTCACTCCGGTACACCCCTCACACGTTTCGTGACCCCCGGCAGGAGCTCAACCGAGGGTCCCAGTGGCGATGTCCACATGCGTCTCCCCCACCCAGCACAGCGTTACATGGCCCCATAGGGAGCTCCACCTAAGGCCCCAGTGGCGGTGTCCACATGCGCCTCCCAGACCCAGCACAACGCTTCGTGGCCCCACGGGAAGCTCCACGTAAGGCCCCAATGGCATTGTCCAAATGCGCCTCACCCACCCAGCACAGCGCTGCGTGGCCCTATGGGGGGCTCCACCTAAGCGCACAATGGCGGTGTCCACATGCGTCTCACATCCAGCACAACGTTTCGTGGCCCCACACCGAGCTCCACCTAAGGCCCCAGCGGCGGTTTCACATGCGTCTCCCCCGCCCAGCAGAACGCTCCGTGGCCCCCTTGGCAGCTCCACCTAAGGCCCCAATGGCGGTCTCCACATGCGTATCCCCCACCCGGCACAACGCGTCGTGGCCCTACGGAGAGCTCCACGTAAGGCCCCAGTTGCGGTGTCCACATGCCTCTCCCCCACCCAGCACAGGGCTTCGTGGCCACGTGGCGAGTTCCACCTGAAGCCCCAGTGGCAGTGTCCACATGCGTCTCCCCCACCCAGTACACCGCTTCGTGGCCCCATGGGGAATTCCACGTAAGGCCCCAGCGGCGGTTTCACATGCGTCCCCCCCCCCGCCCATTACAGCGCTTCGTGGCCCCGCGGGTAGCCCCACCGCAAGCCTCAGTGGCGGTGTCCACGTGTGTATCCCCCACCCAGCACAGCGCTTCGTGGCCCCATGGGTAATTCCACCGAAGGACCCAGCGGCGGTGCCCACATGCGTCCCCCCCACCCAGCACAACGCTTCGTGGCCCGTTTCGTGGCCCCATAGGGAGCTTCATCGACTGTGTTAATGGCAGCGTCCACGTGCGTCTCCCCCCGCCCAGTACAGCGCTTCGTGGCCCCATTGGGAGCTTCACCGATGGCCTCAGTGGCAAAGTTCATACGTGTTTCCCCCACCCAGAATACCGTGGCCCATTGGGAGCTCCACTTAAGGCCCCAAGTGGCAAACATCATACGCGTCTTCCCCGCCCAGTGCAGCGTTTCGTGGCCCATAGGGAGCTCCACTTCAGGCGCCATTAGCGGTGTCCACTGTCGCCCACCTCACCCAATACAACGGTTCGGGGCCCAGAAAGAGCTCCACCGCAAACGATACGCACAACTGCGGAAATCACAACTGCATATAGATGGGTCCTTCGCCGCGCTAATTGAATTAAAAAGCTCACCACGGGGTTCGCACCTTCGTTTTTTGTCAAATGGAAAATGGGGTGTCACCAAACTACGCCCCTGGCCACCAGTTTACAGCAACAGCGGCTCCCGCCTCTGTCTTCCTCATAATGTATGTCATCATGGCGTTGTCGCGCGGGACGCCCTCACAATTTGTACAGGAATCGCGCTCTCGCGTAGTATTTCGTCGCCATTCATTCATACGCCGCGCCCTCGACACTCAAGGATCACGCTCTCGTTGTGGATTGCCGCACGACTGATTTGGGAATCGCGCCATCGCTTGAAACTTCTTCGCGATTTTTTCAATGCAGCGGACATCCAAGCCCCAGGAGTCGAAAATACAAGCAAGGACCGCACCTCCACTCCGTGGAGCTATAGTTTCGAAAACGGCTTTGCAGAGACGGTTGGTCGCATGGACAGCAGCAACGCCAACAAAGAAAGGCAAGCAGGCGGCAAGGAGGAAAGAGGAAAAGGCAGGGACAGCAGGGAAAGAGGCAGGAAAGCGAACGAGAGAGGGGGCAGCAGAGCAGAAAGGACGGAAAGCACGGCAAGCAGCGCGCAACAGCAGGGGGACGGACGACGAGAACAGCAGGCCAATTGAAATTCAGAAATGGTAATACAAAGCGCGGGTCACCTGCCCCGCAAGCAAACACAGCGGCATCCAGACACGGCCCACGCTCATATCATCAATGGAACCCGTGCAGTCACGGGGCGAGAAAGAGAGGAGAAGAGAGAGAGGACGACGGGAGACGAAGGGCGGAAAGCAGTGCAGAAAGCTACGCAAGTCGAGTGAAGGGCATGTGTGGTTATATGAAAAACAGGCCTAGCGCCCGACCAGGCCGCTAGAATACAGCGATCGCTCGAGCCAAGAACTGCCCCAGAAGGGTGCGGCGCTCTGGATCGGGCGGCCGGGTGCGAACCAGAGTGCCCCCAGATGCAAACATCGGAAAGCGCCAATAGCGGATCACGTGCAAAGGAGGGGGGGACAGAGGAAGCAGCAGAACATACCCAGAAAGGCTCGCCGCAAGGCGCACTCTAGACAGGCAGGCTTCAGAGCACGATGAGGCAGGCATGCGAGGCGGTTGTCCAACAGCGTGTGCCTCACGCGGAGGTCCTTTTCGAGGTGGTAGACCTGGTGCCCGAGGCAGCCGGAGTTCGAGAAAAAGATGTCTTCGTAAGCGGCTTGTTTTAATAGATTCCAGGAAGTAGAGGAAATGTATCGAACATGTTTGAAACGCATATATTTGAAATGTTTATGTTTGTGGTGTCCCTCGATGTAGCGGAGGGTTCGCTCAGTTTTTGCGAGGTTCCTCGGCCCCTGAGTGGCCGATGCGTTCCCGCCGACGTAGATGTCCGATACGAATGCCATCTCGGTGGCCAAACGGAGGCTTTAGCCAAAATGGCAGCGGTGGGGAGGGGGAGGATCAAGTGGGGGGGATGTAAACAACAACTACAATGACGTTGACAATCGCAAGCAAAACGAAGGAGGGGAGGAGGAGGATTGCCCCATCAGGATAAGTCTCGCGCCTCGTGGTCCCTGGGGCACGTAGGGTCTTGGCGCGAAGATTTCAGGATTGCGTGGGGGCGCGAAGATTCGGGTGTTACCCAGTGGCGTCCTTGGGCCCCTGACATTAAGGATGTGCGGGCTCGTTCAGTTAGTGTCTCGGGGGTTGGGCGCGAAGAGGGGAGCGGGAAGCTCGAGATGCCAGTGCCCGTCGTCCGCAACCATTTTGGCTCAAACCACTTCTAGCGTTCGCGCTCTGTCAGGAGTCTTGCATGCCGTGGGCATGCCTTGAGAAATCTATCGAAGATGAATGTAGTGATGGGGGGGCTGGCGGCGGCGGAGGCGGGCCCGCCGCGCCCGCGCCCTGGGCGGGCCTCCATGCTGCCATTGCTGGTGAGTGCCTAGATGTGGAGGTTGGCGGCGGCGACGGGGAGCCTGCCGCTGCCGCGCCCTGGGCGGGCCTCCGACGTGCCATTGCTGGTGAGTGCCCTGATGACGTGGAGGGCGGCGGCGGCGACGCAGAGCGAGCTGGCGACGACGACGCGTCGCCAGCGAGTTTGACATCCAAAGAGTTTATCAAGCTGGTGCGCCAGCGTCTGGATGCTGAACGCGGCGGCGGCGAGGCTGATGCAGACGCGGGCGGCCCTGTGGGTGGAGGCGCTGCAGATGCTCCTCTTCCTCCCGCGGCTGCGGACCTGGCGATTGTCCCGTACCCATTGCCAATGGTTGCCGATGCGACGCCATACAGCATCGGCCCTGTTGCAGAGATCATACATGAGGGATCGTCATTGCAGGATGTGTCTGTGCTATGGGGCCGAGTCCACCAGAGCGACGCGCTGGATCTGACTGATGAGGTGTTCAAGCGGATTGCCGACCATTATTTTTCAACAAAACGTTCGCACGCCAGCTTCAAAATAGAGGCCGAGATGTTGAGTACGAGTCCGTTCACCCTGTCTAGACGACGGCGGTGTCTCGCCATGGCAGGTTTGTCAATTCTTTACTCTGATGTGATGCGTGCGATGGAGCAGATCATTTCGAACACTCGCCGGTTGGGAGAAAAGCTGTTGCTCTTTACGGAGTCGCGCCAGTACGATGAGACTCCGATGAGGTTGCGCGTCGCGGACGTTGAGTTCAATGCAGTTGTCAAGTCGAGCTCGACCCTCACCCCTGAAGAAGAGAAGCTGGCGGCATCACTCACTGAGGTTTCGCAGCAAAAGATTCTGGCCACGTTTTGGACATTCTCTCTTTTGGTCAAAGTTGATGGGTATATTCAGTCGTTACGCTTCAGTTTGCCAGCGTGGCATCAGAGCATGGCCAGCAAGCACCCAGAGTGTTACATGCAGTGTCTGGAAACGTCAAGGCCGAAGCTGGGGGACATACCTGCCAGCTTCGAGCGGCGACAGCGCCTCGTGACCACAAATGGCGATGCGTCTTGCCAGGCTGCGGAGCGAGGTCTTGCCAATACGGCAACGTACGTTGGGTTCAGTTTCATTCATCTCAAATGCGTCGTGCATCGAATGGCAAACATTCATACAAAAGTGATGGCTTTCGGGCAAGATGATATCAATGCGATAATAGATGTGTCTCATTCCATGTCCAACGGCTTCGGCATGGCGCGGTTTCGGAGAGTGTTGAGGAAGCTCGTCAATGACCGCCTCGAGTACATCGAAGGCTCACCGCCCGACACCAACCTCCAGGAGAGGCAGTTGTGGCTCGATTTGTTCTTCACGGGGAAGGAGCGCTCGCAGAGACTGGGGCGCAAGATCGTGGAGTCGTTGTACAATGGCAGATGGTCTTCACGGAAACTCCAACACTACTGCGATGGATGTTGCAACAGTGAGAAGCATTGTAAGGAACAGTTCTCTGTATTTTTCGTGAAGTGCATGGCTGGCGCAGGCACCCCGCTGTTTTCCGAAGGGATTCTTGGGTTGGTCATGACAGGCCTTTGGACTGGATCGGGGGGCTTGCCTACATCCACGGGATCTTCCAGGACGCGTACGTGTACTGGTGCGCGACATTCAGAGACATTGTTGGCGACGTCGGGGTTGTGGTCGGCGAGGGGGCTCCTGGAGACGGTGCTCATACAGTACCGATGTTGCTGGATGGCGACGCGGGGCCTCCTCTAGGCGTGGCGGGGGCCGCGGCGCCCGATCCTGCAGCCCATGCGCCTGGCGGCGGGAATCAGGGCGAGCCCTTGCCCGAGTGGAAGCTCCAGCAGCAAGAGATGGCCCGTCGTCGCCAGCGTGTTCGGGATTGGATATCGAGGCCAACGTTTCTTGCCGAGGCCACCGTGCTTCGACGGGTTGCAGAAGTGCACAGGGTTGCGATGCAGACTTTGTTATGGATGGGCGGGTCGGCTTGGGACCAGCGGCAACGTGCTGAGGAGGGGCGATGTGTAATGGCGGGTCAGTCTGGGTTTAACCTTCGAGCATACAGAGTCTTGTCGTTGGCCACGGGCACGCCCGACGTGAAGCTCATTGGTTTGATCAAGCAGTTTATGGGATCTGGAGACATGTGGCGCGTGCTCCCAGCGAATTGCAGGTCGCTCTCCTTGCGACTGAAGGTATTCAAGCAGGTATCCAGGTCACTCTGTCTCATGCTGGAGTTCCAGGCGCATCGGTCAACATACCCATTCAAGCCTTTTCGTTTACTCGCAGAGCTCGATTTGATTGACGAGCTTCTCGCAGAGGAGCACATGTGGGACGACTGGTTCGCATCCTTCCACAAGCACTACACGAGCGAGGGCAAAAGCGGCGTCACGTCGACGATTGCATTGGCCGACCTTCGATGCACGCTCTTGCTGCTGATGCACGATACCGTGCCCGTCGAGGTCTCGCACAGCCGATTCCGCAGGCAGCTGGAGGGGTCGAGCGTGCAGACCCATCGGCAAGCCTTCGAGGATGCAAGCGCCGCCGAGTTGTTGAGGCGGCTTCGTGCATTTGAACAGGCATGTCAAGAGATTCGTGCGCCAGAGATGCCAGAGGCGGGTGCGGGGGGCTGCGCCGTGGTGCCTGATGCAGCGCCCTCTTCTGGTGCTGCGAGCTCGTCGGAGGCGGGCGCTGCGGCGGCGAGCCAGGGGAAGACAAGTGGTGGCGGTGGCGGCCCCTACCGCGCATTCATATCTATGAGGTGCCGGAATGTGGAGGGTACAATCAATTTCGGCGGCAGTATGCCTCAATATTATCGCACAGCAATGCTAAATCCAGTGATGAAGGAACGGCTTATCAAGGCTGGCAAAAAGGCTACCGAGCAAGTGCGGATGGGGAACAAGAAGCCTTTCGGGCACGGGAGGAGAGATATTGAACGGCAGAGCCTGAAGTCAGGCCGCGAATCCCAGGCAAAGCACGCTCTTGCGATGCACGATGCTTGCTTGGGACACAGAGACGTCGCTCAACATATGCCGTTGCTGCAATGTTCTGCCGACCTCGAGTCGCGGCCCGCAGATTCTTGGAAAGCCGTGCTGAGCCTGAAGGAAGATTGCTTCGTCGAGACGAAGATGAAGCAGGAGTTGCAGGCTGCCGAGATGCGGCCGCTGGTGGACTATGCTCGACATGGTGATTTGGGATCGCGCTCGCTGCAGGTTGGCGCTGTCGGTGAAACGCATGTCGACCACCTCCCTATACCGAACGGCTACCCGACATGCTACGCCTACGAGTGGGCGCCATCAAGCACCATCGCGAAGAGCAAGGAGTTGCTGAGCATCGGCACCAGCAACGCCGTGGGGCAGACCATCCAGAAGCGATTGCTCGAGACATGGGCGAAGTTGCGCAGTATCTGCGGCGGCCCCCGTCGCCCCGAGATTCTTGAGGCTGGGAAGCAGCGGGACGCCGAGAAGAAACATCATCGCTGCAAGTATCTGGGTTGTTGCGTGTGCATGCTAGGGGGCGCAGCTCACGTGGGTAAGGCGACCGCCAACTTCAAGGCCGCTCTTCGTGCACCTGATGTGGCGTCGGCTGGATTCAAAAAGAAGCTGCTGGACGGGGACGTCGTCGCCGCTTTCATCGGCAGGGACGTCGGCCCAGATGGTGGTTTCTCGGAGAACGTTGACGAGTCGGCTGTTCTGGTTTGGGCCCACGTCGGTTGGCAATGGCAGAAGCCTTGGGAGTCCCTCTTCCATTTCGTTGAGGCGCCGCGGGGCGCTGCAGCTGCGATTTCGCCGTGGTGCTCAAGGCCTCGCAGGGTCACGAGCTTGCTGGATGGCAGTGGCACGGTTCAGTTTTTCGCGAAGCTGGACCTGGAGAAGCGTTGGGACGTGAGCTTCTGGGAGTTGCGGCATTCGCATGGCATGCTCGGTAGCTTCGTGCCGAACTCTGCCGAGTGCGACCCCGTCTTGCCCGTCAACCCCGCTCACTTGTTGTGGATGCCTCGGCGCGGCCCCCCACCTAAGAGACGGAAAAGGAAGGGGTGGCGCATCGACTTGTCAAAGTATGACGACAGCGAGGATGACGGGTTCAAGGGGGGCGACGACGTGGACGACGGCGCCGGCGGATACGTCGACGACGAGCCAGAGGAGGGCCACGAGGAGGCCCCTGGCTTCGACGCCGCCGTTGCCGACGACATGGGGGATCACGTCGACCTGGCCCCTGAACCCGAACCAGTTCACGTGGACTGCGTGGGCGCCGTCGATGAGCATGACACGGAGTCAGAGCACCGGATGGACGTCATTTTTGGGGAAGGTGGTGAGCCGCCTGCGCCAGAGGCAGATGGCGGCGGTCTTGGTGATGTAGGACCCCCGCCGCCGCCCCCGCCGCCGCCCGCCGCGGCAGCCCCTGATGACGACGACGATATTGAGTTGCCCGACCCCGAGTTTCCCGATTCAGACCCCGAAGCAAACGCTATCAGGGTGAAGTTTGGCATTCATACTT